GAAACCGAGGAGGTCAGTGATGAGACGCTGAACGAGGTGGAGGCGGACATCACTTCCTCGACGAGCCTGCGTAAGCGGCGCTACTGGCAACTCTACCTCGAGTCCAATGGGTGGACGCGGGCCACCTGCGCTCTCATGAGTTGCCTTTTCAGCCGCCATCAGATGGCCAACTCCACTGTATTCGGTCGCCAATCAGTCTGCGGCAAGATCCGCAGCCGGCTGCCGGCCAAATTGGTCCATTTCATTGTCAGTAAGTTTTATTTCCATCGATAGCCTACTTTATGGTTGTGCTGCCAGTAGTGGCCGTAATTACAGTACAAGTAGTAATAGTACTAGTAATAGCATTGGTATTAGTAGCAGTAGTTACAGCGTAGTAGTATTATTAGTAATAGCCACTGTAGTAGTAAAAGTACTAGCAATAATAAAAATGGTAGTATTTGTAATAATCACAGTAATATTAGTAGCTGAGTAATATTAATATTGGTAATAGTTACGTTAGTAACGGTAGTAGTATTATTGCTAATATTCATGGTAGTAGTAACAGTAGTAGTATGTGTAACATTCTTAGTCGTAGCATTGTCGATAGAATTGAGTATGCGATTTCCAGGAAGCAGTTCAGAGGAAAAAGATAAGATAACTGGAACAAGAATTTCTTTTTCTGACGTTTATGATTCTGCAAGACATGCACAGATGGGGGTGATACATGCGTAGATTACACGGTTTTTATATTTCGTGGCGGTCATCTGTATGCGTACGATAATTATCACCTCCTGTAGCCACCGCTTAGGGTCTTAATTGGTGAGGTGATGGCTTGACACTTCGCCTAAACGATTTGCCACGGTAGTAACAGAATAGTATTAATATTTGTAATAGGCACAGCAGTATTAACATTACTAGTAATAATAGTATTGTTAATCTTCACAACTGTAGTAGCAGTAGTAATAGTACAAGTCGTAATAGTACTAGTAATAATGATAATATTGGTATTACTCATAGTAGTAGTAGTAACAGAGTAGTAGTAATATTGGTACTAGGCACAGTAGTATTAATACTACTAATAGTAGTAGTAATGGCTCTAGTCACAGTAGTAGTAACAATGATAGGATTGGTAGTCTGGGTAACAGTCACATTAGTCGTAGCTGAAGTAACACAGTAGCATTACAGAATTAGTATTAATGGTAATAGTAACAGTACAAGTAGTAGCACTACAAATAATAATATTACCAGTAGTATTGGTAATGGTCATGGTAGTAGTAACAGTATTAATATTTGTAAAATTGGTGGCAGTAGTACCAGTAATTATAATATTAATAGTAGCTTTGCTAATAATCACAGTAGTAGTAACGGTGCTAGTAATAATAGTATTGGTAATGATCACTATAGTAGTAGCACTATTGGCAATATTAATAGTAGTTGTAGTCGTAGTATTAATGGTCGTTATGGTAGCGGTGGTAGTAGTTGTTATTGTAATCCGACAAATGCCAAAGCCAGTTGCCTCCTGTTTGAGGATCTTC